TCATAAGCATATTTCGTGCATGGCAATTTTTGATTATCACTAGCGACTAAATGGGAGGCTCCACGAATCGAGGTCCCAACAACAAGCGTAAGACATGCTTCGAAATAATGAAGTTCGAGTAGGAGCTCTTAAAGATCAAGTCAATCAGAAGTCTTAATCGCAGAAAATTTGTTCATTACAAAGGCAGATATGATGGGTATTGTTACTGAAAACCCCATCCGCCAATCCGGCGCCTACGCCCAGGCTTGGTTTTTACGTTTACGTGTCGGTGCGGTCCCCCCCTTGGCCGCGTCCAGGTACCTTGGCCCGCGCTCTAGGGCCTCTCCAGTGGAAGCGTGGTCGTCCTTGGCCGGACGGCGTATCCCGGGCTCTCTCTGGCCCGTGGGTGACGGCCGCTCTATGCGGTCCCGTCCGAGGCGCGCGGCGGCTGCGCTCGAGGAGGCAGGGAGGCAAAGTGTTCCAGAACGATCGAACTACAATCGGCGTGGCCGCGGCGCTCGGCCGAGCTTGGCCCCTACGGGACCTCGCAAGACATAGTCCCACGAGCAGTTCGCCAAACAAAGGGCACGAAATTACCACATTACGTTTACGTTTTTACGTTTACGTTTTTACGCGTAACAACGTAAATTTGCGAAAGGGGCTATTTATACGTTTTTACGGCTCACTGGGACATCCGGATTACACAATGAAAGTGGCGTACAATGTTCAGTCTTCCGCCATCTCCAACACCTGCAACACAGTGTCCACGTCACCCTCGGCAAGGACAACAATGTCGTTAAACAAAAGGTCGTCCTCTACCCACTGCAACGTGTCTGGCCGCCACTCCCCAGACTCCCTACTGTGCTTGAGCTTCAGCGCTAGGTAGATCATCACCAGCATTCTTCCTTTCTTGGGAAGCAGCTTTCCACACAACTTGCTTTGGATCCACCCGTAGCTGCTCACACCCGCTCACAGAGGCCGACCGCGATGGGCTGCAACAAGATCTTCACAGCCACTGGCGCTACGTGGAGCATGTAGAAGTCAGCTCCACTCAGCTCTTTGGCAAGCGAAAATGGTAACTCTTGTGCAAACAGGCCTTGCTTCTTATAGATGTTAAGCTATTCTTTCAGCGCCTTGGCAGTGTCCTCTTGTGACAACCACGCTTCCAACACAGTTTTGAAGTCAGCCACAAGGGCCATTTGGGTGTGCTGCCCAGCTCCCTAGTGCTCCAAGTCTAGGCACAACTCTGCACTGTGCAATGGGGTGTGCAGTTGGTCCCACCTTTGGGCCCAGAGCTGGGAAATCTTGACGCGCCGTGCACGCTCTGGGCCACTCACCTCTTTGAGCGGTTCTGCAGCTCTATATCCAACTCCAAGCAACGTGCGTACACCTTCCCCATAGCAGGCGTACTACCGTCTGCCAACTTGAGCAAGAAAAAGGCATTTGCAAGGGTGTCGCACACCACTTGGGCATCTGTCCACATATCTGCGTTGAAGACTAACGCCTTCACCTCTGCGTTCTCAGGCCTTGTCCTCAGCCTTGGACAAGCGAGATGCCCATTGCGCCACGGCAGGGTGAGTGAACACGGCCTCAAGAACTCCCCTGGCAGCACAGGCGTTGTTCACCATGCTGTACCAGCCTGCCATCCTCGTTGGGCCAGGTAGTCCCAGTGCGCGCACTCCTGGCTTGCCCTCCCGCAGCTTGTTGTGTGCGAGCAAGCTCTTCTCGTGGCTCTTCAGGTATTTCACCAGGATGCCGATCTTGTCTGCCGTGTCCATAAAAGGCGGCACCTCTTTGAACACGTCGCTAAAGAACAAACCAATAACTTGGAGTGCGCACCAGCCCTCAAATGTCCAACGGCGCGAAGCAACAAACTCTCTCCGTGCTGTCTCACACGCCTTGGCGCCGTCAGTGAGCACCTGAATTGCTGCTCGCTCTGCCTCCTCCTTCTCTACACTACGCGCCATCAACTCCTCCACGAACTTATTACAACCTTTCTCGAGTCCCGCCTTGACGAAGTCTGCCCCCTTCGTCTCGGGGACCTCACACAGTTGCAGCTCAACGAGCGCGTCCAACTGGTGGGTGGACACACAGTAGTTCAAGACGGGCACTCCATCCCTCCCCGTCCACCCGTCGCTCATAAAGGTGCAGCCGTGCATGCGTGCGGCGTCCATATCACACGCATTCCCGCACTCTACAACCACCGACCTGTAGGTGCGTTCTAGGAGCTGGTCCCCGAGGCGGTGGCGCGTTGGCGGGATGTATGGGCACCCGAGCCTTGCCGTTAGATCCACGGCATACCTGAACAGAGGTCTTTCAACAACGTTCCAAGCTATGTTGCAATCATAGAACGCCATGGCCCATGCCTGGTCAGCAGCCTCCTTTCCCATAATTTTCATTCCATCTACGATTAGGCCTGAAGGGGTGCCCGGCACCAGGTCCACGGTTTGGTGGCGGTTGGCGGCTGGCACCGAAATGCTGCCACCCATGGACACCTCTGTGCACACAGGCTGCATCTTTGTGGTGAACAGGCTTCCGGTCCTGGTGCGCTTCTTGCCTTCGTATTTGTTCTTACGTACCGCATGATGGCGAGCAAACTCCTCCCTGACCCCCGGGGCACTTTGCCAGTGCATACTGCCACGCCAGAGCCAGCGATGCCGGCGAGGTAACAACAGCATCGGCGCCCCTCCCCGCCGCTCACGACTTGCTGGCAGTATGAGCAAGTGGCTTGCAAGCCTTTCACGTTCGTAAAGTGTTTGGCGGACGGCCCATACAATCCCTTGCGCCCCATGCTGAGCGCAGGGGACAGTCAGTCAGGGGTTGACCACGCAGCATAGGCAATATGTACACGAGCAATTTTTACGTATTTAAGTATTTTTACACATTTTTGCGCGTTAAAACGTAAAAACTGTTTTTTCGCGTAAAAATGTAAACACGTTCTATTTTTACGGCGTAAAAACCAAGCCTGCCTCCGCCAACGCGCTTCTGCGCTTGATGCACTTCTGTTTCCTATTTGTTTCGATGGGGCCGCTATTCAAAGTTTCTTCTTACCAAATTTCGCTTACAAGCGGCTAGCCCGAGGACGCCGCCTTGCCAAGGACGCTGTTTTCCCACATGCATCCCCGGCGGCCGCAGGGCCCCCCTCTTGTCCGACGCTGTTTCGCGCGAAAGTTCGCTGGGAAAGCGCATGGCGCCTGGAGGGGAATCCTACCTGGGCCTGGCAGTGCTGTTTCTCGTCTTTTCCACCTCCCGCGCAGCAGGTGACGTGCCCCGAAGATGGGAAGCAGGCTTGTTGTGGGCCCTGAGGCCCCATTCCAAATGACGGTGAGGTGCAGCTTCCAAATTCTCAGGCGGCACCGTCAGATCGCTCCGCACGTGCATGGCCGTGCCAAGTCGCCGGAAGCGGGAGCAGCATCGCAGCGGGTCTCAGAGCGATGCAGACCACCACGATTGGCCAGAACGCCCGGTTTGGTAGCGAGAGCGAACAGCTCATTGGTTGGGCGGATCGGTACATCGATGTGTAGTGCTGAGGGTCTGCGGCAAGGACGCACGGAAAGGCGGCGCCCCTTGCCTGGGGTCTTCGACTCACTGACTGCCCTGACGCGCCGGTATGGTGAATTTCATTCCCAGGTGCGGATCCATTGGCAGCAGCAAGGGATTCAGATTCCGCCCTTACTGGAGGGTGCAAGGAAGTGTCCTCAGTTCTAGACATTACGGTGAGTTCCGGGGTCGGGAGGTTGGCCGAGTGGATGGCGACTGAGGGGCTGGGGTTGGGAGATGAGTTGGATCGACGGTTTAGCGGACGGGGCATGGTTTGTGGGCGTCCCGTCGTCCAGGGGGGCGAGTCGAAGCCTTCCGTGGGTGCGCCGGTCCATTTGCCTGCGTTGGTGGTCGCCAGTCCTGAGTCGAAATCCAAGACCCTGGATTTTGGAAACGCTGGCGTCCAAGCACCTTCGATTCTGCGCCAGTCCCACGGGGTTCAGGGTGGGAAAGCCCCCCAGGACCTGACTCAGCATCGTCAGTGCTCGTGACTGGGGCCAATCGGTGAGTAGCTGTGTGCCTTGGCCTCCCAACGGGGTCAGTGGCGCTCAGCCGGGTAACAAATCGGGCAAGTCATTTCATCCCGTCAGCAAAATGCTGCCGCGTCGAATCCTAGTGTGGATGACTGAAGCGATACGCGAGTGAGGTTCGGGCGGAGCTCACCCTCCCATCCGAGCACGGCGGCAGCGGCGCAAGGGGCAAGAAAGCATCCTTTTCCTACTCAGGACAGCGAGCGCAATGGCTATTCGTGTCGCCTGGAATGGAGGCTTGCATGGTCGGTGCGCGCGAATGATCATGGATACCCTCCATCGTCCTTGCGGTGTACTGTTTGGGCGCTGACTACGTGCCTAGCATGCTCCTTCATAGATGCCGTAAGCCCTTTCCCTTTGGCACATACGTCCTGGCCTAGTCTTAGCAATAGCCAGAATTTTGGGGCGCGGGACGCCCATACAGCGTCCCGCGCGTTCCCCTAAAACCTCCAACCTACGCCTGGGCAACGGGTGGAATCGCACGTGTGGCGTCCCGCGCCCCTTTCTTCCACTTCATTGGCCGGGCGGTACCACTTGGCGCCGATAGGCATTGGGCGACAAATGCTGACGCTGCCACGGACCCGATCTCGACGCGTAACAACTCCCACCACCATGATCCACAAGCGAGGTGAAAGGCGTGTGCGGGCCCCCGAAAAAATGGCCACCGCCGAGGTCACCGAGCGCCCTGGGTCCAACAGCACCGTTGGGTCCACTCTGGGGTCCGGCTGTGGCCGCAGTCCAGGGGATTGCAGGTTACCTGTCTTGTGTGCCCATCTTTGAGCCACGTTAGGCCGATGCCGGAAGCGTTTTTGGCGCACGGTTTTGGCGCACGCTTCAGCTATATGTTCCCCTTGGTGGTTCTGAGGTCTTCAGCCTGCATTCTTTTCCCACTTCCTGTGCTTTGTTTCTGCCCAGAGCACTCATGCTGCACCCAGAGGAAGGTTTCCCTACATGGTGTCGCTCCTTCGGGCTGGGGGCAGAGAGCACGTTTGCACTGGTGTTTTGGTGGGACCTCGACATGTCGTTACGCCAGGTCACTGCGTTGACCCCCACAGCCCTTACAGTGCTGGGAAGCTACCCATCGTGGCCATTGGAGGGACAGGGTCCGATGGTGAGGAGGCAGGCTCTGAGGTGAGCAATTGCCTGTTCAATTCTGCATCCCATGTGATGTTGTTCGGCTGCAACGTCGCAAAGCAACCCATTTGATACACAAGCCATTGCTCGACACTCGTATGCCCTGTAGTCTTGCCAGTGTGGAGAAGAATACCAGCCGACACAGATCGGGCTTCTAGAATTGTTTCGAAATTTTAGCGCTCATGTGCAGTTATCATGACAAATGCTAGCAAATCAGTGCGACAAATATTAAAACAGAAGTAGTGTGCGCTGAGCCCACTCGCTTTGCAATTTGTACTAACATGGCAAAATTTTGTGCCATATCTGCAGTCTGAATGCACATGATCTATCGCAGGTTCTTGTGGCCAGCAACTCTGTGATTCATCCCGAGTGGGAATCTTCCAAAAAGGACCAGAGGTCACCATACAACGTCGCCATTCTGACCCTGCCACGCCCCTCCCAGGCCGCTCACCCCCACATGCTGTTCGACCACTTCAACCTGCGCAGCGGCCAAAAGATAGTGGCCCTGGGATGGGGGTCTGGTCCTGGTGGGCCGCAGCTGGGGCAGGAGATTTTTGGATCACTGAAGATGGAGGCACATGAGTTCATTGAGGGCCAGCACTGCAACAGATCCACGCTGTGGAACGGCGAGCTGCAAGAAGGGACTTGCTGTGGCTTGAACAACGACAGGAGTGCCTCGTGCATGGGTACGTGAACGAACTCCAAAGTTCTAGATCTTCGCGAATTTGTACAGATTGAGATTGCTCATTGAAGCATGGCAGAGAGATTTGAGTTGCCACGGCACGAATAGACGTCACTTTCATGCATGGAATGGTATTGATAAGCGTTTTTTGTCATTAGCATAGATTTCAAACATGCAGATACTTTTGTAGAAAGGAACATACCCTTAAATGTGCTAAAAATCACAGAGCATACCCAAGTTTTATTGTAGCATTACATTGGACACAAACCGTTTGTTGTGCTGTCTGTCAACTCACCTGTCGTTTTGGCATTGATCAAGCAGCGTGATGGAAGCACAGTGCCAAGTACAATATTGCATTATTTGAGGAATATGCATTATTAAAACATAATGGGGGCGGTGCACTTCTTTGAATTCAACACAATCAAATTATCACCAGTAGAAAACAGCCTGTTTGTGACGCCAGCTGCGTTGCCCTTTTGACACAAATTGATGCCATCACAGCCCCTTTTATGCCACCGCAGTCACTGTGACGGCATCAATGTGTGGCAAAATGGCATCGCAGCTGGCATCGCAAACAGGCTGTTTTCTACCAGTGTATGTGATTTTCTATCGTATATGACCATTGCCTTTGCTGCTAGTGGCATACTCTGAGCAAAGTCCAGTTAAGCCACTTGGTGTGCCTCCTGGCAGTGGATTCTGGCTCACCGCTCGTCCTCCTAGACTCTCCTGGCTACGACATCATGACTGGCACGCCCTCATTGGATTTCGTCACTGCCCTCAACACAGACGGGGCGCCTTGTGGCATGGCCGCCAAACCTGACATATTCGTGCCCTTTTCACACCACAGACAGTGGATCGTGGAAGTCATGGGGCTGGCTGACTAGACAAGCCACAGTGCACTGTTGAATGGCAACGAAGCATGTCCTGTTGGCTAACTTTTATTCAATTTTCCCGTTTTGTTCGCATTGCCCATCGTTGGGCTCATGTGCAATTGGCCGCAGTCAAGAATGGTCATTTTGGGTATGGTCACCCTTTGGGATCAATGATGCAGGCTATCACTATGGCAAGCATGGTTGCTTGTGTGGATATTATGGTGATCAGACTTTGACAGGGTTTTGAGGTGGCCATTTGCAGGCAAGGGGCTCCTAGTGTTGCATTTATCACACAATATGGGGCATGTTATACACATGTTTTCGAGTGTGCTTTCAAGAGCGCTTTTCCAGAGTGGTTTTAAGAGGGATTTTCGACCACAGCTGACTAAGAGTGGATTTGCGCTTGACAGGGATGATGGGCATAACAGTCGGCTCACATGGTTGAGCTGTTTCGATATCTGTGCAACATATGCACCAGCATTATGTATCATAGACGCGACCAGTTGTTTTCATCACCACACCAGGTCAATGTCAGCATCATATCATCTGCGAAACATTTGGCAGGGCTCAATACACCTAGCTTGTGTGTCGCTTTGCTGGGGATTGCCGCCACAGTTTAGGGGGTTATTGGAGTCGCTTTGCTGGGGATTGCCATCGCACTTTTGGGGGCTATTGGGGTAAAAGGTGATAGGGGCATAGGCGTCAGCATCTTGTAGCAAATCTCGATGGCTGGCAGTGGGCAAGTTGATCACCCAAGGAAAAGATATCAGGGTTGAGTATCTGAGTGCTTGGATGGTTGAGTGGTCCGCTAGACAATATCGTTGTGTTGCACACAGTTTGAAGCAGCTTGATAGTTCAAACTCTTCAGTTGCATGTTACTGTGGGCATCTGTAGACAGTGGATAAGTCAATGGTTGAAGCTTTCCTAGCTTGCAAACTGTATGCTGTTCCAGTGCAACAGTGCGCCTTTGGATGTTAGTGGCTTGCCAGTAGCAACCTTTGCAGTACATGAGTTGGTTTTGTTGTTCGATTTAGGTTTCCTAACCTTCAGCACACTGCGTTAGCCAGGACTCTGTATTTCCATTCTCAAAGCAGTGTGATGAACTGCCCGACGCGTGGACAGCGAGACGGTGCCAGACGTAAGTTCCAGATTGTATACTATTGCTTGTAGACTACACAGGCTAGAAGGACGTATTGGATGGAAGTGGGTTAGACACAATAGGCGAATGTTTTTGTGCATGATTTCCTAGAATACGGCGTTTCTAAACACCATGGAGCAGAAAATGGGAATCTTCATCTGCACCTGTGAAAGGTACACAGCATTTTCACGATGCGTTTTTGTCTTGGATGGTCACATTTTGAGGCGATGAAAGATGGGCATTTTCAGCATGTACAATTTAATGCATGGGTAAGTTGCAGTGTAGTTGTTTGCAGATGCAATGTACTTTCGCAAATGTTGACACAGCTGCATGTAAGTTCATGTGTGATCAAAAATTCGTTCCCAACCGAGGCAGCTCACACTGACAAACAATTGCAGTACTTGTACATAATTCTCAGTTTCACATTGACAGGTAACTGGCAGCTTGTCTCTGCAGATAATGCATCCAGCAAGGAAGTGGGACAAGGGCAAAGGCAATGGACGTCACAATGACCTCAACAATTTCTTGAATGTGTGCTCCAGCCATTGCTGTGAACCAAAATCCAAAAAGGCCATCTTGCACCTCAGAAGCATGCCAGTTGTGGCCTTTCGGACACAAGGACTGTGTTTTGTTGACTTCGGACAGATGAAGCCCAGGGATTTTAAAAATTGCAGTTGAAGAAATGTAAACGCATTGCTGCAGTGTCATGGAAGTGGCAAAGACCCAGCATGCCGTCTGATGAACGTCTGTTCAGAATGGATTCCCATTCGAATTTCGCAATGTACGTTGTGTGGCATCTTGCAGTGGCCATAGGGCACACGTGCCAACTATGATGCCATCTTCATCTCAAACCACCCAGCCTAATGCCAATCGAAACCAAAAGATGTCACATGAGCTCAGTGAGCACCCACATGGAGAGTTCAATGGGATGCCAGGTTATACTGGGAAGATTCTGTCACATGAATTGATTGTTGGGGAAAGAATTACGTACAATCTGTGTTATTGTGAAGTTATATGTGTAATAAAGTTGATTCAGGGACTTCCCTCACAGAGCAATTTCTTACAATAACTAAGGATACAAAGCATCCAACAACGGCAACTTTGGCCTCACAGCATGAAACATCCGATGCTGGCCTCAGAGCCAGGACCTGCTGCTTTTGCAGAATCAATTCACATAGAAACAAAAGCACGACGAATATTAGCGAAAGTATAAGCAGTCAGCATGAAAATAAACACTGTTTCCCGGTATTCTTCAAGATCTGGTCAAGGTCCCCAAAAGTGTGTGTTGAAGAACACAGTGTGCATCCATCTCCCTGTCAACGCATGTGACAGGAATTTTTGCGCGCCTGTCCTTCTTTGCTCGTCTTGGCTTCCTTCCACGTCCTCCCCCTATTCGACGCCATCCTTCTTGGGCACGCCCTCAAGACAGCCCATTACGTCCTTTGCCAGGTCTGGTGCATGCTGCCTGAGGAACCGAAACTCCGCCTGGGCGCCAGGCCAAACGGTGCACAATTAAAACAGAAGAAAACAAAGAACTTCTGAAAGATTCATAGAATGCTCTACACAAAATGAGCATGTAGTACAGACCTGGACAATGATGCAGACACAAAAGAAAATATTGGCCGCGCCTAGGACATGCTTTTCTCATTGCAGAATTGTAACTATCATGTTTGATTATTGTCACTGTCTCACAGCACCAGTTGTGTGTGTTTGAGACTGACACAAGCCTTCACCAAGGTTGTACTAATAAATGTGTTCAAAAACTATTTGGTTTCCTTCATTGTTCATGGCATCGCCCTCCAACCAACCCCCAACCGCCCAATCCCACCAATACAAAAATACAACAACACTACATAGACTGGGAGATTCACCCCAGGACTGGACCAATCACTGCATCAATAACTAAGCCAAATGTGGTGAATTGGGTTTTCTGTGAGTTGATTCGTATGCCAAAACAGGGAATGCCCAAAGCTGCCACTTTCTGTGCTGCGCCAGCTGCGTATTTGCCTGCAGTGGCAGCAATGCCGTTGCCTCGTCGATGCAAGGATTTTTTCTTGTCTGCCAGTGCAAGGACATCACTTCGGCTGCAGTTAATATGCAGCCACTGAGCAATGCTGGTGGAAACGACTACAAAGCCACAAGAAATGATAAAATGTAGTAGGGTTGCTCCCCAAAGTTAGCCCTGGCTTACCATCCTGTCATTCATCCTGCCCCAATTCCTGACTTTAAAACAGTCTTGTTGTTTCCCGTCTCTGTACTTCTCTTTTTGTCATATCTGTGTTACTATAGTTACGTCTTCCTTCCTGGGTTCGAAGCTTGGCAACCACGAGAGTGATTGGACGTTGGGCAGTGCCAACTCCCCACGCACACCTTAAACGCCTCTGGCAGGACCCCCTCCGCGGCGCCCAGCCGTAGCGGTTTGTACTTCAGCTCCGCCTGACCCTGCGGAGCGTCCTGCCCTGTGGGGCACACTGGCGTGACGCAGAACTCATAGTTTGAGGGCTCGTGCAGGTAGTGCCACGTGCCACTGGCGCCCTCAAGCGACGCTTCAAAGCCTTGCAGAGTCCCCAGCAGCGCATCCGGTGGGGAAAAGAAACTGCAAAGGGCAGTGGAGAAAGGGGGCTTGATCTCGCTGAATCATAATTGCGTTTGAAAATATACCCAACACACACCCTGAAGGTGTTGATCGGCATGAAACCATCGCGGATTCAGCCCACACCGTATGATGCATTGTTTCTGCTTCTTTTCGTTCGTTTTCTGTCAACGATGTTGGGGGAGGGGGGACTGTCGAGTGTGGAGCTTGGGGGTGGCTGCGAGTAGACTGGATTATGAGAGAATGAAAGATGAAAGCGAAGAAAGGCGAGTGGATGGGTGGGGGTGGGGTAGGGTGGGGTGGGGCGGGGGTGCATGAATGCAGGCACTTGCAAGGGCTTGCTCACATGGGATAATACCCAGCAGGGAATAACCGGATCAACCAGTTGTCTTGTGTGTTATGGACAGGGATTAGCATTGCAGTGTTCCTGATGAAACTGCTGTGTCTCCAGCAGTTTGGATTTGGAGTTCATATTACGTGGAATTCACGATAAGGTTGACCCCCACATTGCATTGGCTTGGCACAGTCTATGTTTGAGGCACACTGTGCACTACGAAAAGATCCTCTTGCAGCAAGTGGCTAGACCCACTGCAGGGCAGGCTTGTTATTTAAGCCGTAAAAATTGATTGTATTTATGTTTTTACTAAATAGTTTTTACGTTCTTTATGTGTAAAAATAGTTTTTACCTTTTTTTGGTGTAAAATAATTTCTACGTTTTTCCATGTGTAAAAATAGTTTTTACGCTTGTACGTGTAAAAAAAGTTTTTAAGGTTTTACATGTAAAAATGCGTAAAAGTGGGCAAATACAACGTAACTACAGAGTCCGCGGAGTGGCGGTCAGACGCGCTGGAATGGGCAGAAAGCGAACTTCAGTTCGACGCCGTCATTACCCTTGCCGAGGGCGAGGTGGACACTGTGTTGCAGGCGCTCGAGGGGGGAAAGTTGACCATTGTCCGCGACTTTCTTCGCATAACTTGGGTGTCATAGCGAGCCATAAAAACGTAGTAAATACAGCCTCAAATGCAGCCCCTTGTGCAAACTTGCGTTCTTGCGCATGAAAAGCAAACGCAAAAACGCAAACGCAAAAGTAAACAGCAAGCCTGCTGCACAGCGTGCCTTGCAGCCAACTACCACTGTTTACAACTTGGCAGTGGGTAGGAAACCGACAATTATTCCCACCCACCGACTCTGTCCCTAAATACCTTCATCCACTGCTTTTAGTCAAGTTTGAATACCAAGAGACCACAGCATAAGTGAACATTGCTGTTGATTTCTGCAAAAGGATCTCTATTACGATGTAATAGAGTCAATTGCATAATTTAGTAATAATTCCATTGCGATGCTAACCTGGGAACAGTACTCGGCGTGGATCGAGGCGTCTTGCAGCCTTCGCTGACACCTGCACTGCTGCGATTGCGTGTCGCACTGATTGGCAGCTCCCATGCCTGCAGCTGGTTGTCTAGTGCATGGGTAACATCTGGAACTGGGGCCTGCCCAAGAGGAGACAAGTTTCAATACCTTAACAAGGTCTATTCAACGGTTAAGGAAAAAAATTAACAAGAATTGTATGAAAAAGTGTGAGAAAAGATCAGGTTCTGCCACATGACTTAGGGAGGACACTATGTCGATTTTGGTACGCTTACGTCAATCTGATGATGGGGGGGAATCTGGCCTTGTGACGCTAAGAGATTATGTGATTGACACAATTTCGACATAAGGTCTTAAGATACACAAAACGCCGTTGATCCAAGGCAGGTGGCTGGTGACTTGTTCCAAACCCCCCTCAAGCGTTCAAACTTGAAGGAAGAACCCAGAATAAGCCCTCAATAAACAGTCATCAGGGGTGCCCCAATCAACTGAAATGGCATTTATCAGCCCATTTTTCAGCGCATTACAATCTCTACAATTTTGACCATTTATGCTCCTCAAAAGCACCTTGAAATTGGCTAGCTCTGTTATGTAAGGTTGCTGTGTCATACTGGCAACGACATAAGGACTGACGCTAAGGGGGGAGAGGGGGGGTTAGATTTGTTACAAAACAGGAAGAAAAACAGGTCATACAAAGGGCACCCCCTCCCAGGCAAGTGTATGTGAGGCTCTGTTCCATGCTATCAAAAGATGATATAAAGCCTCCGAAGCAACGGGGGAGGGTGTGTGTGTGGGGGCTTAACATCAAATTGATGCTTGGAGCATACCAAAATCGACGTAGCATCTTCCCTTATACCTATTAGTTGATTCACATGCACGTCAAACAGGGGTTCCTTGGTTGGTGAACTTCCTTCAGGAAAAATGTTGGGAATTTATTTCGTTTTCTTAACAAACCATGAACGTTCATGCCCAATGATTGGTGCTGCTGCAGAAGAAATCGTCTCCAACGATTCATCGTTATGTTATGTTCATCATAAATAGATATTCATCTGTACCTAGTTATCTGATACGATTTGTTAGGTAAACTGTGAGACCTGCTCAGAAATATGATGGGCAACAATTGTGCGATTGCGATGTGCAAGAAACATGCTTAAATCATTGGTGCCCAGTACTTCGTGTACAAGTTTACAGCTCTCAAGCTGGGTGCAAGGCATTGGAAGTACACAGAAGTCTAACCCTTTTCTTGCGATTTTAAGGTGATGACTGGCACAGAACATCCAACTCAACCTTTTTCAATACAATCAATGGTGAATCGCCAGGCCGTTGCATCAAGGTCAACAAGACAAGCATCATGGGTGTCACGCGTTGCAGTGACACTCGCCAGCTTGTGCAAGGACTTAATTATGGATGCTGCTGATCGTGAACGTTGTCTTCTGGGCACCCCCTTGATGGACTGATGCCTGATAGACTTGCATGTGCAGGAGCTTGCATTGTCACTTTTGACAATTTGTTCACTGGATTTCTACCTCAGGCGTCGCCCCTTGAGGCATCTGCAAAGCTGCAGCAGCAAAGGGCCCAGGAAGGGATGCTTCACGAACAACCCCAAAGCTATCACGGCGCGGTGGATCGGTGCTTGGTGCGCCAGCAGCGATTGACGAGGGAGACCTGGCACAATGTCAACTTGATTCTATGGTATGCATAATGGTGAATCAAGGCGGGTACAGAATACTGGCAATCCTGGATAAGGTAGCAAAAATCATAATATGTCACAAATTCACACAACCTTTGAAACTGGCTTTTGCTTTTGAAGATTGTGTGTGCTGATATATGAATGTATGAGATGTAGCACATAGCAGTGTACCACTGAATACATGATTTTTCATTTACGACTTTCAGCAGAGGAATTGTGCAAAGATGAAAACTGTGCACCACAGCCAAGTTCTGGCCAGTGTTGCGGAATGCACAAGCAAAAAATCATGGCAGGCCTTGAGCAGGGGACAAATGGAAAATTATAACGAAAACAAGCGAGCAAGACTGTAGAAAGCAGAAATACAGTAAGTTACAAGATATGAACCCAAGTTTGTCACAGTTGACGAAGCAGTACCGATGCAACACTGATATCTCGATGAACTAGGCAGGCAACTCCCATTTCCTTTGGGAAGTTGAACTGGACAAAATCTACTGTTCTTGTATCTGGCAGTCCAACACTTTGCATCATACTGTAAGGTACAGTTCGGCTATTGAAGTACCAAGTAATGCACTGTTCAACTGATGTCCAGGTAGGTCCTGCCACTGGTCATCAGGTACATCCCACAAACACAATGTAGCACGATTGATTTCCTCCAGATGTGTCAAATGAATTCTGATATGACAAGGGCGCCCTCCCAGCGTATTGGAGTTCTCTACTTGACTTATTTATTAATTTACTTGATTGCGTTTATGTTCGTGTGCGCTGAGTCGTTTGGGCTTCATTTTGGGGCATACGTTGAATCGGACCCGACCATGGCCATTTACACTGGGGGCGCCCGCATAATGGCCCAGTGGGCGGGTGTACGGTCGCCAGCCAGGCGCACGCACAAACGCCACCGAAGTCGCTGGTGCCCAACGTCCAGCGGCCACCTGGGGAAGTTCCCCGTGGGGCGAGAACCGCCGCCTCACGTCCCTTCCCCCAAAACAGGTCCCTAGAGCCCTCCGCCAACATGCTGCATCGCGCAAGATCGCTGCAAGCAGGCGGCCGACAAGGCCACGGCAGGACAAACTGGCAAAGATTCATGGCAGAGGCCGGGTAGCCGCGCCATAATAAACGCCACCCCCTTTGGGATGGCACTCCACCCTACCTACCGATCGGTAGCCCCAAAGGTGGTGTCTCGCCGCGTTTGGGGTCGAAGATCACTGGATGGGGTGGGTGTTGGATCGGCATTCATAATCAAATTGCCAGAGGTGTCCGCGACTCAATACAAGCGACCCCGGGCGTGACACAGGCAACACGCCATGCCCTACACCCGCCCACGCAACGCCCCACATGGCTTGCCCGCCTGGGGCTCGCCCACCCCACTCCCCCGCCCCCGGGGCACGTTTTGGTGGTGCGTGATCCCGTGGGCTGCGCGGGTTGCGTGAAGCGGCGCTTGCAGGACAAGGCCGGCATCCCTGCAGAGCAGCGCGGGTTCGTCTTTGACAGATCAGGCACACACCGCCGGGGCAATTCACAGTGAAGATCCTCGGCGAGCCCGCCGGGTGGCAGATGGAGACCCGCGCGACGCGGGGCTGGGCGCTAGCGGTCGCCTGCATCCGGCGCCGAGCGTCCTGTCTGGCCAGACCTGGGTTGGCGATCAGGAGCGTGGGTCAGGGCGCCCTGGGTGGCCCAGCGCGTGGGATGGAGCATTGGCCCTCGGCTAGGAGCTAGTGGGGCGGTCGATCGCTCTGGGGAACCGCAGAGCGTGTCCTCTTCCCTTTGAGGATTAGTGTGTCTTTGTTTTTGCGAGTGGGGGCGGTGGGCCGGGGTGTGGGCTAGGGGAGGTGCGGGGAAAAGGGGTGGGGGTAAGACGCCGGTGTGTTGTGAGGCAGGGGATCCCTGGAGGTGTGGAGGCTGCCGTGGGCATGGATCGATCTACGTCCGAGGAAGCTGGTGCCGGGTTGCAGGGGGCCGCCAGCGCAGCGCCCGGTGATCGAGCTAACCCAGCTGTTGAAGGCCTGCGCCCGCCGTGCGCGCCCGCGGGCTTTATGCCAGATTGCTCGCATCTGGCATTGGGTCCTTGGGGACCTCGGCGGATTTGGTTGTTCCCCGCCGCGGCCATCGTAGACGTAGCGCTTTGTGCGAGTGGTGGCCGGCCGGCGCCAGCCCCACGCCCCCCAGCTGGCCACTCGACGTTGGGCGCCAGACTACTTATGCGTTTGCGGGTGTTTCTGGCTGGCGACCGTACACGCGGCCACTGTACCTGGCCATTGTGGGGGCGCCGCCAATGTAAATGGCAAAGGTCGGGTCGGATTTAATGCATGCCTCAGAAGACAGTACACTTTTTTTGTGAAATGACACGAGGCTCACACCTCTTGTCTCGGGACAGAGCGACACTCTCAAGTTCATGTGGTATTTGCAAAAGAAGCTACAATGCACCAATGTTCAAGTAGCAAGCTTGCCTACTGTTTCTTTCCTAATTCCTAAATAATATGCGTCTATTGCAGTAGTGAGAGATTCATCATTGCAAGAGCGATATGCTAGCAGAGTGCCAGCAATAGCATTGATTGCAACAATGGAACAACTGCGCAGCTGCTGGAATTGAGTTGCTCAACTCTGTGCAAGACATACCAGGCAGCATGCTACCTTGTAGAATGTACTTTACAGCAAGGGTGAGCAATGATTTTGGAAAGCAATGAAACTAGTGATGTCAACTGGTCATGCGACATGACACTGGGATACACAAACAACACATTTATCACATGCTGGCTGGGCATACGGATGAACGCTGGTGACAAACCCACACCTTAAAAATGGACATGGCGATGGCTCAGAAGCTGGCTGGGGAGCAGACTCGGGCAGAGGAAGTTTTTCCCCATCAGCATCTTCACTTTGAAAGGAGCCACAACTTCCAGGCATGACAGAATCGATGCTCTGAGGTCGACACAGCTGCATGGCCTGATGCACAGTGCAAGCCAGGGTGGCTATGTGCTCAAGAATGTGCTTAGTGTCCAGTTTCAACTGCAAACTGAAAATCAGTTTGGGGTGCCCTTGCATGATCTAGGCAGGGCGATTTTGCTCAGTTCCTCCTGTTGCATTTACGTTCAGGAGGCAAAGCAGATCCCTTGGACCTTGCAGGGGGCGATGGTGCGATTTCATACTGATTGCATTTCCGAATCATATGCAATACTCTTTGGACAGTTTCTGCATTGGAAACGCATCAGCATTTGCATGCATGCTTTTTGCTGTTGCAGAACTGTGCTAACTCTTCGGACACTCATTGGAAAATAGGCCAAGAGCTAAAAATGTGAATTGCATGCTGTCGTTTTTGCAATCAGAGGTTGAATTTTGTCATATACAACACAGAAACGTCTTGCCAAAAGCATCTGTCTGCGAGGTATAAACGGCCCATTGTGCTGCATGCTTCATTTCTGTCAAAAAGTACAATGTTCAGCAACTGCGCTGCCTCAGGATGTGCAGTGTGTGTGGGCGTTTCCCTACATTTTGTACCACATGCTGCCATTCACAGCTCTTAATTCACAATGCACACAGTAGCAAATGCAGTGAAACAACAGCAAAAGACAAACAAATATTGAGGCTAAATCAATGTTCACAACGAGCATCTATCTGTATTGAAAGAACACAGCTGCGCACATTACCTGAATGAAAGCTACTTGTGACTTGCCTACAAAGTGTATACACAGCACAATAGATTTCAATTAGAGCAATATATTACAGGCAATGAAACATCACTGCTGCAGAAATTACATGAACGAAAGCTACTCCTAGCTTAGATAGATAATACAGAAACATCTATTAAAATATGCCAACAAATGACAGAACAAGCGGTCCTTCCCACCTCCTCCATGGTCTCCAGGGGAGCTTGCTCGCTGGCTACTGTGACAGCCATGGCAGCAAGCGGTTCTTGCTGATCGTAGGCCTCAAAACAGCCCTCACTGTCTGAGGTCTCTATGGCTGGGCCTAGGCCTTCATCTAATGAGGGAGATGGCGCACAGAACATGTCCACACTGCCAGGGCTCTCATCATTCGGACTTAAAATCTTGTGGCCCACGGTGGAGCGGGATCTGTACAAAACGCGAATCCTTTATTTGCTTAAAATCCACTTATTATTGGCATCGTTCCAAAACATGACTGGAGCCAGCAGTGCCTGTCAGAGGTATTTTTTGCCTTTCTGGATTCTTTATCTGCATTTCGATCAAAGGGTTTAGTTCAGCGTGGCTGCATTTGGGAAACCAATGCTTCCTACCATCCTTTCATTGCTTCCTACCATTTTTGTGTCGTTTGGATTTGTTACTGATCAGTCGGTCACCACCTTTTGGTCAAAAGTGTAAACAGGACACAGCGAACGCCAAAGCCTGTACAACATGGGAAGCACTTTCCCGACATTTTGATGTGTTTTCGACTCGACACTGGAATTTGGTTGGAACCTTGCAGCCTATGTGAAACATCGACTGTCGTCACCAGATACTGCTGGAAATGTTTGTTGTTTGCCATTTTTCATCTCTTCGGTGTCCAATTTTTGTCCTTCGAATAGGAGAGTTTAAGTGCCACTCTCTTGAAAACTAAAGAATAGAAATTACCGCTAATGCACAAGGTCAAGTACTGATAGATGTTGACAATGCGGTACACAGCTTATAGCTGACAGTCATTTGCCACTTTGTTATACACTGTGTGATGGTGCTGTCCCTCATGAAAATGGGTCCCACATCTGCAGCCGTTACAGCCAGCCCCAGAACCATTGCTGCCTTCTAGCCACTTACAGGTTAGCATACAACATACCTCTATTACATGTCATAATATAACCATGCTGTTATAATTGATATACCGATTATGACATTATCAGCGTGTCCATAATCTGCAGACTGAGACAACATTTCAATGAACTTCAGATCTACCACCTTCAGGATATGCTCTTGACTTGGGGTCCAAGAGCATGGCCATTGTGGAGCCAGGCATGTGCTCTGGGTTGCAAGGACAGCTCCACGCTAGCAATGATCGTCCCAACACACCTTGGGGGCACACTCTCAGTCTTGGAGTCAGGGTTGATCGGCTCTGTGGGGGCAGGTGTGTGCGCTGTGGCCAGTGGTGGGCTCTGCAGTGGTGGACCTGGGCTTGGTGCTGCGCCCACCTGCTCATCCTCGACACAGTCCATGACCCCCTGGTCCTGTGTGGAGGGTGCAGGTGACTGCATCGCGATGGCGGCAGCACCAGCATTAGCAATCTGCAATGCAACCCAGTAAGGAACACGAGGGTCAGGTGGGGGCTGCATTGGAATGAGTGACACAGAGTTTCCAGGGTACACTTTTCAGGACACAATGATCTAAGTCTGAATCTTAGCCTTGGGAACAGTAATATATTGTAACAGCTGAACAGCCAATTGAAGAGTGAAATACAAATGCAGAGGTTGCATTCATGTGGTTTCGTTATATGACAACCCAATGAACCACATCCGTGCATGCCAGATGAGATAACTTAGGCAAGGTATAGTAACATGGGTACACTGCATTGCTGTGATGTACAGCAGCAGTAGATTAGTAACCTGTGCCCCCTTTACCTACTCATTGTATAGTTGGCATACATGCAGCACTGGATGGCTCATACAGCAAATGGCCTAGTGTCCCTGACAAAGGAGGTCGGCCACAGTTGATTCAGCTGTTCAAGTACTGGAATGGTACTTCAACACAGTTCCATAGGTAATGGGTACATTGGCCCCTTATAAATTTGGTGCTTCTAGTACAGTGCTGCTCTATTGTGCAAAATGCACCGACAAGACCATATCATTAGAACATCATCGCATAATCATCTCAACAGCTAAGATGGCCTGACCTGTGCACAGCAGTGTGTGCACAGCCGAAGCGCTTGATGGCCAATCTGGCAAGCTGCCTCCTCGCCGCAGTTCAGCCGGCCAAGCGTGTCATCGACTTCTGACAGCAGGCCCGCTACTCGGCTGGCCTCGCAGTCCACACACGTGCCCAAGGCAGCACTGCGGCCCATGGTGTCTTGAACTTGGGCTTGCAGATGGGACACCAGGTCAGTGTTGTTGCCCAGGTCCTGCAGCGCTCGCACGTGGTCCTGCTTGGCCTCGTCTAGGTCAGCTTCCAAGGTGGCAATGCGTTCCTGTAGCTGGACCCAAATCAAAAATTTCGGCGATCACTTGGGGTATTCCATATTAGGCACAAACAAAAAAAGGACCAAATGACACTTTGCGAATACATATGAAATGCATTTCATCAATGTTCTGCATGCTAAGAACACAACAATAACCCCAACCCGTAAACTTTGTACACGCGTGAACATGTGTTATTTTGCCCCTTTCCCTAGTGAGGGGTTACCTCTGTCGAATTCATTGATTGCCTGTGTTGTTGGTTCATAGTTCGTCATGCCTGTTAAGAGGGCACTGGGGTGCAATTCGATGTCCAGATTGTGCATCTCAGAATCCAACATCTTCTCAGGCAGCGTTTCTGATAACATCAGCAAATGCCCTTCTCATGTATTGATTAGTGTACAGAAAAATATATGTGCACGCGTATACTGCTATTTCATACACATGAATGCATATTCAGTCTGTTAGAATTGGTGTTGAATTATTTGAATTCACCGCCAGGGTATTGGGGTTTTGATTGCGGTGACAACAGATATCTTCTGGCAGGATACAAACAAGATTCAATCTCATTCTTTCCTGTAAGCAGCCTGAACTAACGAAAACAATGTCCTTTCCTTTCTTGTTGCAAGTTTTCCCACGCCCACAAACAGCTAACACTTCTTTCTTGAAGCCTGGTATTCATGTAGTCGTCAACATACTCCGATTCCTATGCTTCTGTGCATTTCTTGCAACCTGGCACAAGGACCACAGCTCTTCGATGTGGGCCGGGGAGCACCTGGACCCTGGAAAATGGTTTAGCATATCTGGAATAAGGGCACCATATTCTCCTGAACTAAGGAAAACGCTCACACGGGATGCTAGGCAGCAACAGCAACTGTGAGGTAGAGTGATAGCAGCAAAACTCCATTCGAACTGTATCATCCTCTTACAATTCCTTGCAAGGGGCTCTGTTACAACAGAACGGACATGACATGGTGCACTCTGGAATACTAGAACGAAACGAAATGTGAAAAACCGTAAACAAAAAATTCTTTCACCATTCTCACACACTGCAATGGTCATATGCATTGCTCAAAGTCTATGAAGGCACATCCGCGCACCTCCGAATCCCGATCCGCCCTCTCACGCATCGCTTCTGCCTGGGTGCGAACATCCGCAAGGGCAGCATGTGCTTCTTTGACCTGGCCCTCCAATTGAGAGATCTTCAAGTTTCTTTCCTCATCCATGGCTTTAGTCATCGCCTCGTTCTGCTCAGCAAGGCTCTGCCGAGCGAGACTCTGTCGATCCCGGATTTCAATTTCTGCCCCCAGCTTGTCCACAGTCTCCTTAAGCTGCTCGATCAGCGTCTGTGCGGCTTCCTTGTCGGCCTGCAGCTGCAAGGTAACCTTCTGCGAAGCTTCCTTGTCAGCTCGCAACTGCAAGATCACCTTCTGAGCTGCTTCAATTTCCGCCTGTTGAGAGAACACGCCACAGAGAATGCAATTGTGAGCATTAGGATGCCATGACAAAAAATGAACCAGCATTTCAAAATGCAGCTTCGAAATTTACTATACTAAATTTATCTAAAGGAAAATTCAGTTTAGGGAAATTTTGGAAAACTAAAGTCAGTTAAGCTGAGTTGGCCTGAATTTATTAACTTCAGCAAGCTCGTTTTGAGGTACGTGTTTGTACAGAAATTTTATACACACCTGTATTTCAAAGTGCTCTTGCAATCAAATGTGGTGGAGCATTAGGGCTAAGAGTGTTACTTCCATGTGTCATTTTCTCACTTGCGCAAGTGGATTCACAACTTCACCATAATCACACAACTAACATACATATAATATACAAGTAACATATTGGCACACCATCAGCCCTTTTATACTTGTGATTGAACGGGACTGGCATATCTTGTTTCTGCTGAGTGAGCCAGCCTCTGCCATCCCCAGGTCCATCCCCTGTCCCCAGCGCACTTCCAATCACTGCAACAAAACCTGCATGTTAGTTCTGTTGCATATACTGTTTGAGTGCAGGTGACGTTAGCAATGCATGTTTTTGTTTCAGTGCATGTGCTCCTGTGCATACTTGACTTTACCGCCTGTCCAATATGAGGTTTGAGGTGTGGTTCACGTTGGGGATTCACAGGCACTGGATGGGGATGCCACGGCATTTAGCATTGAGCCCTAATGCCATCTGATTAATTGTGACACAAACACTTGACCTCTTATATTGGGCATTTTTCTTGGAGAAAATACACAAGAAAGTAAACGTCAGTACCAGAAACCACAGGCGCATTTGCGATGTAGCGACAATCCATACCGTCCACAAAGAAGCATCAAGAAGCAGTGGTGAAGAGGGGCAGCTCCTAAGCTCTCAACTGTGATTTAGCGTGTCTATTGCACTTCGATATTATGTGATTTAGTGCATTTTGGACCAAAGGGGGTAGAAAGGCATCCTGTCACCTTCGAGGTCTCTGCCCTCTCATGCATAAATTTTTCAACTCCATGCGAGCCTCAACCATGTTGGCACATGTATGTTGGAGCTGTTCCCTAACATGGAGCGTTTCAGAGTCCCTTTTGTTGGACATCACCTGTGCTATCTCCTCGCTCTTTTGTTCCCGTGCTTCCAGCTCCTTCTCCAATGTGTCTACCCTTTCGTGCAGCTGCTTGCTCACCTCCTGAGAAGCTTCCAGGTCGGCCCGCAGCTGAGAGATCGCCTTCTGGGAGTCCACCTGCCAACAGAAAAGACCACACAGCTGGGCACAAGGGTTTCGCTGGAACAACAATTTTTATCTTTGAAACATTCAAAATCATTGGTAGCCTGAAGTGAAGTATAAATTGATAAAAAGAATCAGTAAAGACACAACCTACCTGAAGTTAAGCATAGATTGATAGAGAGAACTGATAGATCTGCTGTGTATACTACAACAGAGCAGTGGCATGTGCATTGATTGTAGGTCAAATTAGTGTACAGGAATTAAAATGTGATGATATGCAAATTTCGAAAGCAGCTGCAGCAATTAAAACAAGCACTGATGTTCATTCCCTTTCTTTGGTTTCCTTCAGCATGAACAGTTTTTGTTCAATTCAGCTGCAAATCAATGGTCGGCACCTAGACTTGGATATTGCAAGCAGCTTTCCACCAAGGTATCTAATTCAACCAATTCACCAACATTGGGTATCAATCAGGCAGCCGTGTCTGACCATGAGTTGGACGAGCGGAAAGAATGGGTGGATGTGGAACAACACCAACATTCTCGGATACGCACATGCCCAACATCGCCCACAAGGTGCAAGGGCACGGCTGGCCTTGTCGGCAGCAATTTGAAAGAAAGGATTGCAGTCTTTGGCATGAAATTCAATCTCCCAGATGGTTGCATTTGTATGCCTGCAGGTGGCATCCAGGCAACTCCACAATGTGCGGCTTTAGCTGAACTGCCTTTGTAGCAGAAACCAGCAAGGACTGAATATGAGAGTTCTGAAAAATCTGCATCACTGCAGACAGCAAATATTGGAGGGCAGAAGCACATTGGAGATCGGTATGAATGAGGGGATTGTGCACACTGGTGCTTCACTTTGCCAACATCAATGCTGACAACAGCCCTCTGTTTGCATTCGTTTGTAATGACACAATCCAGATGTATCCGAGGTGCCAATAATGTTTGGCAATACAACAGTTTTATATAGCAACAGCCCACACTGATACTGTTAATATAATACACTGCTGTATTCACAAACGACTAACGCTCTGGCATATTTGCACCTCAGCATTCCTCATACGCTTCTCTGTCTCCTGCATCTCTTCTTGAAACTTTCCCTTCAGCCTGTCTGCCTCACTGAGCCTCTCACGGGCAGCCTCTAGTGCAGCTGCCTCCGCCTCTCTTGCCTCGTTCGCATCCTTTTCCAGTGACTTGTTCGATTTCTTCAGCTCCTTGATCGTCGCATTTGCATTGGCTAGCTGTGCCTGCCATACAGTATGGCACGGTCTATTGCTGCTTTTCGTTTGCATCTCTTGCATTTAATCCACAAGTCAGGAACCTGTGATGTCCAGCTCAGGTTACACATTTGAAATACGATTGGCATTTGACAGTAGGTTGAAAGGCATTGTGTTCTGTGGGCATACTGGCGACTCATTAAATCGAAATTTGGATTCGATGACGGCGATGATTTGCTTCGTGCCATTGGATCAACAATGATATCTCTTGACCTGTCTTGCAAGATGCAGAAGTAACTGGTATGTCAATTATGGCAGGAATGGATCCTAATACCTTCAATGTGTTCTGACAGGTCGAGACAAGAGTCACTGTGATGTCACAGTAACACAGAACATTATGTGACACCATCAGCTTCAGCTATACTCAAAATCACCCCCCTGATCATTCACAGTATTGTGTATCAGTTCGCATTCCATCCCATACGTAATAAATGGACCAGAAGATGGATATGATCGGAGCCCCTACCCTAGCCACCTGTGCTCTCACCTCCACACCATTGCATTTTGTCTTTGACTCTTCGCTGCGCTTATTTGCCAGCGCCTCCGCTCGTGTCAACTTGTTTTCATTTTCTGCTGCCTGCTGCAGCGCAAGCGCCTCAGCCTGTTTGGCACCGGCAACGTCGGCCTGGAGCTGCCTCTCCATTTCCTCCAGACGCTGGATCTTTTCCAAAGCCACGGCAAGGCTGGCCTGCGCCCCCAGCATACTGCCAATGAGACACTTTTCTTGCCCAAATCCAAACTGTAGCAGCGCATAGTTGCAGTGACGCATTGCCCATGTTGGCAGCAGAAAACTGCCATGCAGCTCACTGCACTAAGTGGAGAGTCTCCACTGCAGACAGCGCCATTTTCGACAAGGGCGTCCGCGTTTGTTGCGATGAATGCATTTTGAGCACATGCAGGTGTTCAGCAGGCGTTCAGCACCCATCAGTGAGCCACAGAGTGCGTTCAAGAGTATCCTCAGGAACTGGTTTCTGGCCATGATACATTCCGATGGGTCATGTGTTGCAGGTAAAGCACGGACGGTGACACACATCTCTTTGTCATGACAACATATGTAGGAAATCCACTTCTTCATCAACTGGTTCCCACCTCCGCTTTGTGGCACCTCTCCGCAGCCTTGTTTGCCACTGCCAGCGCCCTGCCGGCCACCGCCCTCCCGTCCTCCCGAGCCGCATCTTCGGGCTGCAGGGCCGCCGCTTCGTCTTTCGGTGGCAATTTCGAACAGATGATTTCAGCCTCGACGGCGTCCCGCTGCTCAGGCGGGGCATCCGCCCTGCCCGAAGAGCGAGTGCGCCTGCCGCCCCGGCCCCTCCCCTCGCTGTTCGACTCCTTCAGAACGCCGTGCACCGCCTCCGGGCCGTTGTCCTCTCCCTGCGGCCACCAACGCGCACAAATTTCTGCACATTTTTCACTTTCATTAACAACTTTTTCGCAATTATTGCCTTCTCCAGAGAGATCCCGTTGTTGCAAAATGGGCGTCTGCGCCGCGGGCTGAGGAACGGGGGAGCTTGAAGCAAGATGGCGGGGGGCCGTGGCCCGGAGTCGGACACAAGGGTCGTGCGGGGGTAGTTCGGCAGGACGCTGCCTGGAGTCGAGTGAGCCATAAAATGGCCGTGCCGGGAACAATCAGCAGACCGCACCATCCCGCGGACTGCCGCTTCCCCCAGTCGGGCACGAGCTCAGCATGCCCCGGACGAGATCCCGCCTCCTGATCGCCCCCGCGGCCGAGCATTCGCTGCAGCCGCGCCGGCGACGGACTCTCCTTGGAATCCGGAAAACAAGACATGGAAACGAGCGGACCTGTTTGCCAAACCCACCCACCTCATCATCGGCCTGGACATGGGCGTCCTCGGGCTGGGCATCCATGTTCTGGGCATCGGCCTTCCGGCCTCGGGACCTACCCCGCGAACGCGCCGCGGGCTTTCTCCCCGCGGCCTTCTTCCTGCGGCCCTTGGCCGGCGGGGAGGCCTCGGCGTCATTCCCGGGGGCCCTGTTCTCCTCCTCGGCAAGCGGGTCGGGCTCGGGGCTGGCGGGCGGATCTGCGTTCGCCTCCGCCGGGGACCCTGCCAGAGGGGCGCGCAAGTGCATCCGAGTATCAAGTTCCCGACCGACGTAAGTTCTGCACACAATTCTGATCCAGCGATAGTCCTTCGCCAATCTTCCGCCCCCGAAGGCCGCGCGGGACATTAAATGACGCCCGGCACCCGCCGCGTCGCGCGACCTCTCAGCCGATCCAACTCTACGACCTCTCCCGTCCATTCACGGACCCAATTCCCGATTCAAATTCCCGCACTCGCCCCAATTCAAACTCCAGCCGATCAATCCCCCGCGACCACCTCAGCGAGGTCGTGCCCGCCCCTCACGCCCGCCATCCCCACCCTTGGCCCTCGCCTCAGGATCCCGCGATCGCCCCATCTCCTCCGTGCACCCTTTTCTCCCACCCTCCCCCCGAGAATCAAAATCGCTTCCGCGCAGCGGGAATCAAATCGATCTGCGATCGCTCACCGGGCTGCGCGGTGGCCTTGGCGCCGCCCCTGCGTCGACTCCTCTTGACCGGCTCCGCCTTGGGCGCCGCCTCGGCACTGGCGCGCTTCCTGCCGCTGCGCAGTGTCACCATTTTGATCGACCACGGCCGTCGCCGGCGGGGTTGAGGAAAGGGGCCCAGGCGGCAATGGGGGTGTCAAATGGGAGGGCAGCGGTTTCTGGCAGTCGTGGGAATGATTCTGGCATGTTGAGTTTCAAATACGAAATCCGGCCCGGCCATTATGTCTTCATTGAGTGTATTAGTCCCAGCGTACTCGTTGGTTGGATTATGGCAATATCATTAAGACTCCATGAGAACCTAATAGGTTCTCATTGTGTGACACTAACCGCGTGAAGGGCCATTACAGGACTGCATGGTTTAGCATTGTCTCCGCCCACATTGACCCTTAGCAGAACACACATATGTACCACACGTAACCAACACATAATTCATTCAACCACACTAATATCACAATAAAACAAGTCATGGACATTGCTTTTTGCTCTGGCGAATTGGGGAGCTGATGGTTTCCTCCTCCCCTCGATATGTAAGATTTCTTGATGATGATGGTACATCGAATTGCATTAAGTGCTTATTAAATTTTTGTTTGTTAACAATAAGTGATGTGAACAAGGGCGTGGTGATGATAACGACGGTTATTAAGACTAGATGCCATGCAACACTGGATACTAGTGATCCTTTGCTTAGGCGAGGGGCCCAATTTGGGGGACCGTAATATTCAATTTTGGTCCTTCACAATTTCTTTGCGCCAGGGGGTGGGATCAATGGATGTCAAAAACGCAAAGAACATCTTCTCCAAAATGCTCAAAACCATTCCTTGGCATTGTTTGCATCCGTAATTGATGAAAATGTATCGTTTCACCAATTAAAGAATTGGCCTTACTCCGTTTCCACTCTTGCCCTTAGCTTCATGTTAATGAGATAATTATAAATATGTGAAAGGGTGGGCGTTGTTTAGCATATAAAATTGGGGACACCAATTTTGACAACTTTATCATAATGAGGTCGATTCCGATCAAATCCATGTCAAAGCACTAGTAGTCAGTGCCACTACACATTAGAATGCATAACCTACTCATATATTGTATGTTTGATGTACCACCATTTTTGCGTTGCCCAGAAGTAGTAGTGGCATGGTTTTCGGTGTGTTCGCGGGCGATGCGCCCGCCGAGGCGCCCGATGGGGCCGCGGGGCCCCCTCTGCCGGATGGCCGGCGGGCCTTGCGGGGCGCTCGTGTCTTCGGATACGCAGTGTGGGCCCAGGCCTGCAGAATGGCCGGGCGCGGGGCGGCCGTACGCGCAGTGGGTGCGCGCGGCGCCTTGCGGCTTGCGGGTGCAGCCGCTGGGAGGCGAGAGTGGGCACAATGGAATTACAGGCTGTCGTGCGGGGTCGGTCACATGACCCCCGCACGCAGCGGTACACAATCGACAGAACATGTATCGAATGTACCCGTATCGATAGTATCTCATCCCCGAGTACGGTAGGGGCCCAACCTTAAGTACTGCAACTTCTGTAAGCTATAACTCCACTACCGCTAACCCGTTTGGGATGATTCAAAGAACTATGGAAAGCTAATAGCCTCCTCTGTCTCATCCAGGTACAATCTTGTGTCCATTATCAGTGTGAGGGCAGCCTTGTACATGAGGACAGAAGGGGAAGTTCACCTGTATATTAACCTGGGCGGTACTGTATATTAGCATGGGAAACATTGTATAATAGCTCACGGGAAACGGGTTCTAATGCGGGATAGTACTTAGCCATTTCATTCAATGAACGGGGCGTGGAGTGCACGCCGCAGCTGGCCGTTCAGGAGCCAAAGCTAGATGTTGGGTTTACTAAGGATAACTGGACTGGGTGATGATGAAATGGACAAAGGGAAAGAGTGCCGTATTGGTCAATACGGTAGAGAGAGGCGCTGGGTGACCACGGGTCGGTAGAAACGAACGGACATGAAGTTGGGGGTTTGAATTACGAAACTGGGCGGGCATGCCAGAATCTGGGTGACTCACCCAATTCTGGCATGACCCTTGGACTGCCGTGGACATGGGGTATATAAACGGGAACACCGGAACACTTCTGTAATCGAAACCTTGCCGTTCAAGTTCGTTTCCGACTGGACCCCGACTCGAACGGGTAACGGGCCAAGCCCCGCCCAGCCAAGGAGGGTTGCCACCCCTTACAACTGGTTTCGGAGCCAGCAGAGCGCCCAAGCTGCGGCGGCGCTTCGTT